CGAGTACCATGTAACAGAAAAAAACATATTTGCCTTATTGTCTTGCTGTATGCTGCACTTATGGCATCTCAGCTTCACAAAACTTTGCTTTGTGCCACTTCCCTGCTGCTGCTCTTGCTTCCCCGTGCTCCTCTTGTGATAGCTTCACTCGGATCCCAAGGGAGGGCGTTGCTCCACTGGAAAGCCACTCTTAGGAGTCCTCAATCCCTGAGATCTTGGAACCTCAATTCTAGTCCTTGCAATTGGACCGGAGTTACATGCAACCCCGTCATAAGCAGAGGGCGTTCGGTGATCACCGAGATATCACTGCCGAGCATGGGCTTGGCAGGGCCACTTGATTCTCTTGATTTCTCGGCATTGAGATCGCTCCTCCGTCTCAATCTCTCATACAACCAACTCGGTGGGGTAATTCCTTCGACCATCTCGGTATTTTCTAGGCTCGTATCTCTTGATCTCACTAGCAATCAGTTCACAAGTAAAATTCCAGTTGGGATGGGCTCTATGAAAAATATCCGGTTCTTGAGTCTTGAACAAAATCAAATTGTTGGTACTATACCTCCATCTCTAAGTAACCTCACCTATCTTGTGTCTATGTACCTGGATGATAATAAGCTTGTGGGTGTCATTCCTAAGGAGTTAGGGAGGCTCCACGAGTTGATGTATCTGAATATTGGGGTCAATAACGTATCTGGTTCAATCCCTTCTAGTCTAAAAAATTTAACAAAGCTCCGCTTGTTAGCTCTATACCAAAATCAGCTCTCAGGTCCTATCCCTTTTGAGATTGGAAACCTGATTGAGGTTACGGATCTCGACTTCTCAGAAAACCTATTAACAAGTTCAATTCCTTCTTCTATAGGAAACATGACCAGATTAAAGACTCTTTATCTTTGGGGTAATCAATTGTCTGGTTTTATTCCTCTTGAGATTGGAAACCTAATTGAAGTTACTGATCTCAAACTCTCAACAAACCTTTTGACTGGTCCCATCCCTTCCTCTATAGGAAACATGACCAAATTAAATACTCTTTATCTTTGGGGTAATCAATTGTCTGGTTTTATTCCTCTTGAGATTGGAAACCTAATTGAAGTTACTGATCTCGAACTCTCAACAAACCTTTTGACCGGTCCCATCCCTTCCTCTATAGGAAACATGACCAGATTAAATACTCTTTATCTTTGGGGTAATCAATTGTCTGGTTTTATTTCTCTTGAGATTGGAAACTTAATTGAAGTTACTGATCTCAAACTCTCAACAAACCTTTTGACCGGTCCCATCCCTTCCTCTATAGGAAATATGACTCAGCTAGAATTCTTATCACTACAAATGAACCAGCTCTCTGGCTCATTCCCTCGATCGGTTGGTAAGTTAAGCAAACTCAGAGAACTACGTGTATTTGATAATAAGTTGTCTGGAGTGTTGCCTATGGAGATGAACAACATTACTGGACTGACATACCTGGAGCTGTCAAATAATAGCTTCGTCGGTTATGTACCCCCAAACATATGCAAAGGTGGAGTCCTAAAGTACCTCACTCTTGATACGAACAACTTCCACGGTCCCATTCCCACGACCTTGAAAAACTGTACAACATTAGAAAGGGTTCGTCTTGAACACAACCAACTCACCGGAGATGTATCTCAATGTCTTGGAGTGTATCCCCATCTTTATTATATGGATTTGAGCTTCAATCAACTCTCCGGTACACTCTCACCAGACTGGGCAAGATGGCACAATCTGACGCGCTTGAGAATCTCAAATAACAACATCACCGGAGTCATACCCACCGAGTTTGGGCAGTTGACGAAACTGCAAGATCTGGACCTCTCTTCCAACTACCTACAAGGAGAGATCCCAAAGAGATTCGGCAGCTTAACCCTTCTCTACAATCTGAGCTTGGGCAACAACCAACTCGTCGGTCATGTGCCTCTGGAGTTTGGAATGCTGTCCAATCTTCGACTGCTTGATCTCTCATCCAATAACTTGGCAGGAAGAATCCCAGATCAATTAGGCAACTGCACGAACCTCGGATCGTTGAAGCTTAACAACAACAACTTCAGTGGAACCATTCCTTTGGCCATTGGTTATCTGGTGCACCTTCAAGACACCTTTGACGTCAGCCACAACTCACTAACAGGGGAGGTTCCATCCCAACTCAGCAAATTGGTGATGCTGCAAAGCCTGAATCTATCGCATAATTACTTGTCGGGTCATCTTCCAACTTCACTAAAGTATATGGCGAGCTTGTCTACCGTAGATGTATCCTACAATGAACTGGACGGCCCTGTTCCTGATAGCCCAGCTTTCCGAAGAGCCCCGGCAGAGTGGTTTGCCCATAACAATGATCTGTGTGGAGTTGTTCGAGGATTGCCTCCATGTGTTTCACTCGGTACTCCAACAACAGACGACCGAAGCAAGCGCCACAAAATTGTTATAGTAGCCATCATTGCTTCTGTGGTCTTCTTCCTTCTCTTGTTTATATTCATTGGAGCATTCCGCAAGAGAGAAAAAGATACAGTACCTGTCGATAATAATCACTTCAAAGAAGGTGCATTCTGTATATTGAATTTTGTTGGAAGAGACGTATGCAAGGACATCATCGAAGCCACCGAAGATTTCGATGCCAAATACTGTATCGGAAGCGGTGCATACGGCAGTGTCTACAGAGCAGAGTTAGCGAGTGGGGAACTGCTAGCGGTGAAGAAGATTCACCTACCAGACACTGAAGGTACATGCGACGAGCAACCCTTTCAAACTGAGATACAAACTCTTACTCAAATTCGACATCGCAATATCGTCAAGCTTTACGGGTTCTGCTCCTCTCCCCGACGCAAATTTCTGGTGTACGAGTACATGGAGAGAGGAAGTCTGGGATCTGTCCTCCGAAGCGACACTGCAGCTGAATTGGACTGGGTGAAGAGGGTGAGCATCGTGAAAGATGTTGCTCGTGCTCTGTTCTACATGCATCACGATTGTGTTCCGCCTATCGTTCATCGAGATATTACCAGCAACAACATCCTACTTGATTCCGAATTCAAGGCTTGTGTTTCCGACTTTGGAATTGCTCGACTACTGAATCAGGATTCATCAAATTGGACCATGCTTGCAGGCACACGGGGTTACTTAGCACCAGGTAAGTTTCTCTCTCTCTCCGATTTTGTGCAAATTAAGACTACCTGCAATTGAGAACATCTTCAAATTATATTTCGGAGGAGATCTCTATGGATTGGCGGTTTGATCATT